CCATTCCCGGCAACATCCTGGTAAATCTTTTCTGAATCCTGTCCAGTTTAGTAATATCCTTCCTATAACCAGGTGACCAGAACTACACACAGTATTTCAGAAGAGGCCTCACCAAATCCCTGTAGAACCTCAACATGACGCCCCAACTTCATTGCTCAGTCCTTTGAGTATAGAAGACAAATGTGCTAAATGCCTTCTTAACTACCCTATCTGTGATGCAAATTTCAAAGAATTATGTACCTGAACCCTTAGGTCTCTGTGTTCTACACTACCCAGGGCCCTGCCATTGTTTGTATAAGTCCTGTTCTTGTTTGTTTTACCAAAATGCAATACCTCGCATTTATCCAAATTGAACCCCATCAGCCCATTGACCCAATTGATCAAGATCTCTTCGTAATCTTAGATAATCTTCTTCACTGTCAACTGCGATAATATTACATTTCCCAGTCTCTCTCTCATTATCGCAGCCAAAGTACAATCGAATAAATGCCACGTCGTATGCAGCAGTCAGTGACAATAAGCAAACATCAATACTAAAATGTAAGACTGCTTGAAATTCTTGCTTGCTTGAAGCTCCAAAAGAATTAGAAAATAAAACACAGTTGTCAAAAAAAAGTCACATTTCTACGGCTGGTTAATTAATGATACCTTAAAATGACCTTCGAGGAAAAGTATTACTGATTCAATGTTGCATTTATGAATTCATGGGTGTTTGACAGTTATATCAAGTACTGTAACAGAAAATTGGACATCAGCCATAACGCAGAGTTTACAACAAGAAATTTCTCAATTATTCAATTTGAAAAATAAATTGGATTTTATAATGTTCAACTTTTTAAATATAAAGTTCTATTGATAACTTTGTTGAATCATTGATGGCTTGCTTTCCGTGAAAGAACTATAAGCCAAGAGGTATAGTTCTCTAGGATGCAATCAGACAAAAGGTGGGCTTTATTTTTCTGATCTAGTGTAACAGCTCATCAAGCTGTAGCAATTTTAGTACATCATTATTTGAATATGTCTTAGGTGAAGCAATATAAGCTGCTGTACTTTTTATTTTTTTAAAAATTAATAAGATTTTGCATGTATGTAACAGTGGTTACAATCGTTCCCAGTTAGTGAACTGTATAAAGAAGTCAGGTTTTATTTTGTAGACAAATGAAAAAAAATGTTGAAACCAAGATTCTGAAAAGATGTCCATTGGTACTACAATTCAAATTTCCTTGTACTTGTCACACCACTCTTGCACTGTTGCTGTTTTGAACTATTGAAGTTACTCTTATATAAGACAGGAACATTTTACTAAGAAGGAAAGGCCAGCATGTGCATAGAACATTTCATAACCCTAAAAGTACATCAAATTGTAGTTTTGAGGGTGCTTCTCATTTTTGAATGTTTTGAGTGTTTTAGAGAGGTTACCTATGTGTTTGTCCCTTATTACCAGCAACTTGCTTCTGGCTAGAGGCAAAATTTATCCGACAGGTTAGTTATGCTACCTATTCTTAATTTTGTTTCATTAAATAAAGTGCATTAGGATACCGAGTGCATTTGCTGGTAAACTGGTGACTTTATATTCAGTAATTGCCTTCAGAAGGAGATTGCACTGATATTTCAAGGAGGATAAAGGTTGCAAGGATCAGTGGAGTGGGACTAACTGGATTCCTCTTGGAAAAAGCTGGCAAAAACTTGATGTGCTAAATAACTGTGCCACACATAGTTCTTTTGATTCCGTGATTCTAAGTCATCAATGTTTTTTAAAAATCCAATTCCATATCTAACTGCTCGAGGTGAAAACATCTTGGCATACACCTGTCACCTGTTCAGACCTCATGTCAGATTTCTGAAATATCATTTTTCCCATGATTAATATTTTATTTCTCATGCCAGTTTTGTTTACTAATTTTAGCCCTCTCACCTTAAGGTGGTGACTTCACGCATGCCAAGTTGGTATCTACCCCTAAAGACTTCTTTTTATATCAGAGCCTGGACAGTAAATATTGACAAAGCAGGGAAGGGTGCAGTATCAGAGACAAATCTGATTCCACCCCTACCCAAAATCCAGAAGGGGAATGTTACCACATGTTTCAGATAATAGTGCTGAAAACGACAAATGCTGGAGATCACAGCAGGTCGGACAGCAAGCTAATGTTTCGAGCCTAGATAACTGTTCATCAGAGTTGAAGTGAAGTGTGGAGTGCTGCAGGAGAAAAGATGTTAATAGTTCAGATTAAGTGAGCAGAATGTGAGAATGGCAGAGCAATGGTGTATCTAACTACCAGAACTGAAAGAACAGACAGTCCCACTGGGGTGGAGGCTGCATACAGGACATGGTGACAGAGAATGTAACAAGTAAAGCTAAAAGAAAGGGAAGGAATGGGAGTTGGTTCACAATTTGAACGTGTTGAACTCCATATAAAGTCCAGAAGGCTGTCAAGTGCCTAGTACGAAGATGAAGTTTGCACTATGTTTCACTGGAGCAATGCAGCATGCCAAGGACAGACAAGTGGGCATGTGAGCAGGACCAGCTATGGAAAGGTCAGGGTCATGCTTGCGCATAGACTGGATGTATTCTGCAAAGCAGTCTGTGTTTGGTTTCTCCAATGTAGAGTAAGCCACATTGGGTGCAGCAAATACATTACGCAAGATTGGAGACTGTACAGGTGACATGCTGCTTCACCTGGAAAGACTGTTTCAGCCCTTGGATGGTGAGCAGGGAGGAGAATAATGATCTGACAGCGTGATTCATCCCAGCTCAGGTAACTCAGGGCAGTTATCTCACCTGTACTGCCATTCAGCTAAGGTAAATTAACTTAGCATAGACTGAATATTAGAACTGAAAGAAGCAATACTAATATTTCTTACACAATGTGATACTGAATTAAATGATCATCACATAAATGTGATCACATAATGTGCATCACATAAAGTTCCTTGGCAGTTAGAAAATAGCAATGGAAATACAATTTGCCTTCATTCATCAATGATGTGGAGGTGCCAGTGTTGGACTGGACTGGACAAAGTCAGAATTCACACAACACCAGGTGATGGTTCCAACAGGTATATTTGAAATCTCACACTCTTGGCATGTTGCTCCTTCGTCAGGTGAAGTCACTTAGTTTTACCTCGTGTCATGCGACTTCTGACTTAATTCGTCAAATACAAGGATTTGAGCCAACTGATACAATGGTGAATTTTGGCAAAACCCAAGGCAATTCAATGCTGAGATTAAAATCCGAAAATGCTGAAAGTACACAGGTCAGACAGCATCTACAGAGAGAGAGAAATAGAGTTGACCTTTTACAACAGTGACCTTTCATTGGAATTTTCAATGTTCTAGCATGTACAGTGTTTGGCTTGTTTAAGTCAATTGCTGGGTTCTTTTTGTTCTGTTGCTATACATCTTGGAAAATTAACAATTAGTCATTCATATGGATTCAAACTTTGACTGCGTTTGGATTTGCTTTGACAGAATAAGGGCACTGGGAGAGTAATTTGGAGGGACTACTATCTTGGCTGTTACATCCTTGCATTTGCTGAACATGTGACATTGTTGGATTGCTTTAGATTCAGTAGTTGTGACATCTTATATTCACATTTTAATCTTTATTGTTTCTTCATGGACTATGAGTAGTACTGGCTTGACCAGCATTTATTTCCTGTCCCTAATTACCCTTGAACCATGTGGCTTACTAGGCCATTCCAGAAGAGTCAGCTACATTGCTGAGAGTCTGGAGTCACATGTGGACTAAGTAAGGATGACCAATTATCTTTTATTAAAGACATGCGATGTGTCATTGGAATGTTCACCAAAGACACTTTGCAAAAACATTCTAAGAGAGTGTGACACTAAGCAATACAAGGAGATATTAGGTCAAACACCCGAAAATTTGGAACAAAGCTTTAAGGAATATCTTAAAGATGGAAAGTGAGATACAGAGGCAGAGAGGTATAGCAAAGGAAAGGTCAGAGCTTGTGGCTAATGCTTAGTTTCCAGATAATCCAAAAGTCTCTGTTTCCTTATCAATCATACAATGTACCATTGTTTTCAGCCTGGTGGGAAGTTGTGGAAGGCAGTTTGCCCAACTCTTTTACATTCTGGATGTTTGCTTGCAATTGCATAAAAGGTTTATTCATCACAAACTAATTAATCAAGGTCTCAATGTGGGGGGTTTGCCAAAGAGGCATAGCTAGAGGAGGGTATGTTTACCCCTTGAGGGTATTAAGTTACAGGTGAAAATAGGCCATTACCTCTGTCCCTGCCGCATTTCTTCATTCTGTCAAAAATCCATCTCTCAATTTGCTGGAGGATCTTGCTGTAGAAAGGCTTTGCATTGCAGAAATTTCTAGAATAAAGCACATACACACAAAAGGCTTTACGTGTACCTGGGTGCCAAAATTTGTAATTGATAAAAGATGTACTGTTAGATTCATGCTAATTTTCTTTTTATACTTGCATGGGCATTGCAGACAAGGTCAACACTTCTTGACCATCTCCAATTGCCTTTAAACCTAATGGCTTCCTAGGCCATTGAGGCGACAAGTAAGAGTCAACCACATTGTTGTGTGATCTGGAGCTACGTGTAACCCAAACCAGGTAGGGACAGCAGATTCCCTTCCCTGAAAGACATTGGTGAACAAAATAGACTTTAATGACAATCAAAATTGGATTTGTGATCACCATTAGACTTTTAAATTTAGTTTTTAATTCTAGATTTTTTGAATTGAATTCAAATTTTGCCATCTGCCATGGTGATATTCAAACCCATGACCCCAGAACATTAGCTTGGAGCTCCGAGTTATTAATCCAGTGGTATTACCACTGCTCCACTGCCTCTTATGTGTTGTTAAAAGTTTTTTCAAAGTATTTTTTGTGTTTGTTGACTTGTTTGCCTTTGTTACCAACTTGACTTGATATTCCAATGAAAATATAAATGAGAAAATTTGTCAAATTTAGAAATAGAACAAATGCAATTATTATTATTAATGGTTGACTTTCAGAATGATACTACTTCTGAATACAAAGCGCTGCTGGAGCAGAAGAATGAGCTTGAAAAGAAGGCAGAAGAGTTGGAAAAGAAAGTCAATCAACTTCAAAAAAAATTGGATGAACAAACTCTGGTAATGTCAATGATTTGGGAATGTTAGTTGCAATTCTTGTGGTATCACAGATGCTGACTGATAACTGATACTGTATTTCAGAAAGAGCAGTGTACCACAGAACAAAAAAGTAGGACCAAAACTGATATGAAAAATCTGCAGCAAGAAATGACAGACATTTTAGAGGAAAACAATAGTTTAAGGGAGCAGCTTGCAAAATCTGATAAAGAGCTTCGAAACCAACTTGAAGAGTAAGTCAGCTGCTTTGATTTCTTGAATAATTTTGAAACGAGAAAAATTTTCAGATAGAATAATTATATTTTCTTACAACCATTGTTAAGGTCATGGTGAAATGAAATATTTGTACTTTACAACGAAACAGAAAATGCTAATTGGAACGGCATGGGATGAGGTTGACATCGGAAGAGAGGGATAGATGGCTTTAGAGGGGTTGCCTTGGAAGGATGGCAATGGCAATCGAAGAGTGGCATATAAATTATCAGTGAGGTGATAGGATTAATTAAGTGGTCACGTGACTGTAGATTGGTGGATTCTTAAGTAAAAAGTTGAATTCAATATGCATTTAATGTGCAATTTCCTGAACTTGTCACCAACCTCAGTTAACAAGGTGCAGAGCTGGATGAACACAGCAGGCCAAGCAGCATCATAAGAGCAGATGTTTCAGGGCTATTTTTTAAAAAAAAACAATTCTTTCGGATTTTTAGCATAATAATGTCTACTCCACTTGAAGCTTCCCTTATCCCATTAAAGTGCAATATGGCTCTATTTGCACTCTGAGTTGTATCCCTCAGCTTCTGATCCATTCTAGTTAATAAAACAAAAAGATGATGGAAATCTGAAACAAAATTGCTGGAGAAACTCAGCATGTCTGGCAGCATCTATGGAAAGAAAGCAGAGTCAAATTTTTTTTCTGCCGAACCAGTATTTCAGTTGATAAGTGAAATATTTACAGGTGTTTCTTTGGTTGCGGCTACAAATTGTTGAGGCCTGAATGGTGGTGCAGTGTTAGGGCACCTTTAGCCTGCCTGCCAGGGGAAGCACATACTGGGCAGGTTTCACAATTAATGCTTAACCCTAACTATACAGGCACCCATGAAGACTTAGCTTTAATATTCACCATTATAGAATAATTTGCCAGCACAGGCTGTTGTTTCTTAAATGAAGAAAGAACATGGATGGAATGCTGAAAAGTCACCATTGCATACAGTACAAGTGAATATAATACAGAAATAATAATGCTCATTCTAATGCATTTTCTTTTGGAAACCTATAATTTCAGGTACAGTGGTTGCCAACTGAATGAAAGTTGACTGCAAACTGAGTTTACTTGAGTGGTACAGAATCTTAATTCTCCAGTTGGATTACATCATACTCTCCTTTTCCAAATATCCAGTGTTACTGCTTTTTTTTTTCCATTTTTGATCCCTGTGCAGTTAGTCCTGTGCTATTGGCTAGTGACTCTAAATTACTTGTAACAGCAGCCTTTTTAAATAGTGAATTATAGAACATATCTTAATTGTTCATACAATTTCCTAAAGGCATGTAATCCTTAACAAATTGTTGCAAAATGGGAAGGTGGTCATAGGATAAAATGACGACTGCTTTCTCTTTCTGTCAGGTTAGTGCAAGTGAAGATGGAAAAAGAGCAGTACCAAAGTGAATTCAGAGATTTGCAGGATCAGCTCTCAGAAATGCATGATGAGCTTGATCGGGCAAAAAACAGTACCGACAACGAAGAAGAGAAAGAGACTTTGATAATGGTGAGTAGATTCAAATTCGGTAGTCGATCTTCTTTCTCCATCACTGCCAACAATTGCTTTGCAAGCTCCCTTTGCATTTTTCTAAATGCTGTGACTTAAAAGGAAAATGGAAGCCCGACGAATTTTTTCCCCTCCCTCCAAGGATCCTACCCTGTCATTGAAAACAATAATAGTGTCACATCAAATCATCTCACTTTTTTTGTCAAAGTGAAATTTCTCTCTTAGACCACTTCAGCAATTGGATGCCTCCTAAATGCTGAGACCGTGTAACAAACTCGGATTTGCAAATTTACACACTGCATGAATGATTTTACAGGATCAGGCAACTGCAAAAGTACACTCACACTTGATGTTTTCGCAATCTCTCATTTGGCAATTGATCCTTTCTGATATATAAGGAAATATTTAATATTCAGCTGTCATTTTCTTCTGTAAAAATGGGAAAACTGAATAACATGATTCCCTGAATTATCCTTGTCCTTTAAGTATACCGAGCTACTACCTAAACAGATTATTCTTGGATCCAAATTTGTTTGTAGATTGGAACTTCGTTTTAATTTTATTTTTGAATCCTTCCATCAACATGGAAGGAACCATGTCTAAAGTGTGCTGCAAATGCTTGTGTTTGCTTTACCAGGGTACTTAAGTTGTGCAGGTAATGCTGGATGGTGGAATGATCCAGAATGTTTCCAGCTCCTCAGCTTTCAGGAGTAATGTATTGATTCAGTGGCAGGATACAACAGATGAGCTGCCTTCAGCTATACAGGTAGCTAGCAATGATGGGCAGCAGCTCTGAGAATTGCATGTTGTGCTCAGGAGGCAATTACTGGATTGTGTTACGGATGGAATTTTATTGTTTAAGGAAGAAATATTTCAAAGTTCTGGACACAGTTCTGCGTTGAAACAGCTGAAACTATACACAAAGTAATATGCTCCTATATTGGGTTGGACTGGGCTGGAACAAAAATGTTCATTTTGTTCCTTTTTGTAATGTTTCAGTATTATGCAATTTATTGTTCAATGCCTTAATTGGTCAATAATTTTAAAAATGTGAATAATTATTTTAAGTTTTCTTCTTGACATTGGGCAGATTTGAGATTTATTTAAATATTTCTTTTGCTTCAAGTTTACTCAGATCTAATATTTTCCATTTCTATTAATACAAAATACTGTTAGCTAGAATGATGGGGCAACCCAGATCAGAGTCTGCTTTATGACTGTGGCTTTTGCAGAAATAAAAAATATATTGTGTTCAATTCATTAATATGTGAAATTGATACAAGCAGGTTATTAAACATGGACTGTGATCCTAGAGCCAAGGATTGGGGGAGTAATAAGTAAGCTTCATTTTTTCTGAGCTCAAATGAGGCTGGAGATAATTTTCTTCCTGTCATTAAATCCCTCTGTTCCCTTAAGATATTGAATATATTCCAGCAATTAATACTATATGAGTTCTAAGCCTATCCTTTTAAGAATAGGATTGTATGCACTGTTAAAGAGTCCCAGGTTCAGTTCCAGCTTGGTACTGTATTAGCTGGTCTCAGCCAGAATAGGAATTGCTGCTGGGTCCCTTGAGTCACTATCCTGATCTAATTAAATGTTGGAAATTTGTGTGCTGTGTATAAAGTAAGGGCTGTTGTTGGCTGTACAACTCATGTTGTGCCTGATGATATTCAGTCTCTAAACTCAAAACATAGACAATGGCTATGAGGCTTGAAATGCTGGCCATTATTTAGTGTTTTGAAACCATAACATTGCACCATGGGGTGGAGATACGGGTGATAAATTATCAGGGAAAAAAACCCATGGATGTTCATCTACTATTTCTTGAGTTCTCCCCACAAAAGCAGTCTGACCCATAGCACCATGGTCTCCACCATGTTTAGTAAGACACACCTGTGATCAACCTCATCCACAATAGGTATTGAAACCCCTTGCAGTTGGTTCCAATCTGATCCACTCCAGATGTCCAGTCAACGGAACCAACCAACACCCCTCCCCAAAGAATCAGAGTTGCTGTGACAGCAGAGACCTCGACATGCATGCTGGAGCTAGTGATAATAATGGTAAAAGCTCCAGTTTCTTCCCACTGCCTTTCTGGATAGGAATTTCTCCTGTACTTACTGCCTGCCATTGGTCTGTGTTGGAACAATTTGCAAGTTGATGCTCCACCTGTTTGACCACATTATGAACCACTTTTCTCTGGGCGTCAAGTCCTGGCAAGGGACCTGAATCCACAGCTTCTGACTCAGAATCAGGAACTTTATCCACTGCATCACAAAACCTTTTTATGCATTGAAATTACAAGATTCAGGTTATATTCTCTAAGATGTATGATGGTTCCTTGGACCATAAGCTTTCTCACTTTTGGAATCCAGCTATTCAAAGTTGAAATATGAGCAATAGTAATCTGGATTCTGATATTTTGCAATGTTATTATCTTTCACTAGTTTTTAATTTATCCTGGTCCTGAAATGCAATGGCTTGAGGATAGCCCGTAACGTAATAAATTGTATTATGACCTGTGAAACTAATAGCTGAAGACCTGACTTCTGCAATGTTTAATACAATTCTAGCAGGAAATGGAGAGTGGCCATTTCCCATCTCCCTCCTCAATATTCCTTATCAAACTGTAAATATGTTCACTTTCAGCAGAAATCGCTATTTAGCAATTCGGAGTTGGAGCCTTGGCCAACTTTCCCTCAACTCAGATATACCGAGGCCAATCATGCCTGGTGAGATTTTGAGACAGTGCAAACGTCAGACCTGAAACTTAGAACCTTTTGTTTTAGCTGTTCACTGGACAAACTCGTGACTTTGGAGAGCTCTCTGGTTTTCAGTAAGCTTAGACTAACTCTTGAGTAGAATCCTCTGAAGGAGCTGCAAAGTAGCATTTGTGTAAATACTATCCTGTTGCAGAATTGTAGATAGATGAAGATATGGAGTGTTACTGTGTAATATTGATATTTTAACAAAATTCAGTGTAATTAGGTAAATGAATGCTATCATAGCATAGATTTATCAATTTGCTGATCATTAAAGGTCAAATGTGATAGACAACAGCTGCTATTTGGAGCGCAAAAATAATTAAATTGCAGAAAGATGTTCTTTTTAAAGTTATATAAGTATATGATTAAAGCATACAGATCAGAATTATGTGTATTTTACTTATGGTCCATGTTGAATTAGTCATTCTCAGCTGGGGCACGACAAATGTACTAAATGGTACTTGGCAAAGGAGAATGCCTGATTACTAACCCAGGGATTCTTCCAGAGAGTTTATATTTATTGGCCAAACATTGATGACCTTGATATTGAAACGGATCACTGACTCTTGCATAAAACTAGTGATCTGGATTGGGAAATAGAAAGATTCAGTGCCTGTAGAACTGAACCTCAGCAGGAGTCGGCACCTTCAGGGCAGGAGACTGATTTGGTGGTGTTGCTGGTGCAGATTATAAAGGCTAATAAATTAATTTCTACAGTTTGTATACACCTACTTTAAATTACCTCTCCAGTCATAACAAAGTTTATGTCAATGGTGTTTATAACAGGGACATTACTGAGAAGTTGCTTGAATGCTGTTTCTGGTTCCAGGAGATGATTCAGGCAAAGCAGCAGCTGGAAGAGGTGCTGTTAGCTAAAGAAGATCAGCAGGAGTTGTTGAGGCGAAGAGAAAGAGAGCTGACAGCACTTCGAGGTGTCCTGAAGGAGGAGGTGTCACACCATGATCAGGAAACTGAAGATCTGAAAGAATTGCATGAAAGGGAGAAACAGAAACTTAGAAATAGCATTGATGATCTAGTACGGGTGAGTTAGCAATTGGCTTACAAACTGCCTCCAAGAGATATTTTTGTATACAGTAGTGAAGCTAATAGAGGGAGTTGCAGTAAAATTCCTTTCAATTTCCATCCCATTTGCATAATGTACTACATGAGTAAAAATCCATATATAGTGCAATGAAGCTTCAAAGTCTGTCTGACATTACATTGTAAAAGAAACTCACTACATCTTGTAAACTCAAATTTTAGCTTGCGAGCCATGAATTTCTTGTCATAGTTTGTACTGAATATTTTCATTAGGTGCAGGCGTGATCCTTTAACAAGTAATTGGCAGAAATAATGCTGGTTTTGTTCGTTAAGATGAAACTTGTCATGTTGTGGAATGAGAACATTGTGGGGCAGTATCCACTTGCTACTTGTTTGCAAACTTCTGCTTGTCATATTTTAGATGCCACATGGATATTGGTACAGATGTTATCACATGCTGAGCATCTCTGTCAACATTGGCACTGTTAATTCTTCAATTTTGTTTCGTTCATATTATATAAGGTTTGTCACATATGACAAATTTCTAAAATGAGTGCAGTTGAGTTTTTCTCCAATCCTGTTAATTGTGCAGATAGACCATTCTCTTAATGAGCTATTCTCTGAAGCATTTCACTTTCTAGAAGGAAATGTAATTGTAAGTGACAAGATGAAAGACATGCTTGTTATGTGCTACAATTGGCCTGAAAAGTGCCCTGTAAGTAGGTCAATGTTGCTAAAGGGTGAGGCTATAAATAGAGTAGTTCTTTATTCTCACTGGCACTTTGGCTCCATGTTTGCACAATAAAATTCAAGGTTAGTTACTTAAATTATTTTAAAAACCAAAGAAATTTTTTATTTAATCCACAGTAGAGTAAATTAGAAGTTAAAACTAATTCCTGAGCTACCCTCTTGACTGTCATTTGAACATAATTTACATTGATGTTACAGTTTCAGAATGATCACATTACTGTATGCCAAATAAATTCTGGATTTGATTACAATTAATTATTCCAAACAAATGGAGATGCACAATCTTCAAATATCATCTTGGCCTTTTAAACTTTTGCAGCATTATGCTGGCGATTATGGGGCCTGTTAGAAGGCAAGTGGATTTAAAAAAAAACATTTGTCTTCTGCTCTTTCAATCTCTCTTTGCAAACCCTGAAAAGATTTGGATGCAGTTTCTAGAGATCAGATTGGGATATTTTGTAGCTTGGTGTCAGTGATGTCAGTTTAACATTGGTGATGTGGAAGCATGTAGCAATTATAATTTGGGAAAAAAAATGATAAGTTGGTTAATTGAGGAGTGTTAGTCTCGATTTGTTGAGGGCAAATCGTATTTCAATAACTAACTCCAGTTTTTTGATAAGGAACAGAGCATGTTGGTAAGGCTGATGTCATTGTGTTGTGAACAGACTTCTGGAAGTCATTTGATAAATTGACACACAACAGGTTTGTAAGCAAAGGTACAGTTAATGGAATAAAAGGGACAATAGCAGTAATGGTACCAAATTGACTGAGTGACAGGAAGCAAGGAGTAATAGAAGGTTTACAGTGGAGTTAGCTAGGGATCGATGTTTGGGCTCCTGCTCTTTCTGATATATATTCATGAATTGGACCTGTTGTACAGGGTACAGTTTCAAAATTTGTGAATAATGCAAAATGTGGAAGTATTGTGAACCAGGAAGAGGATAATGTAACAAGTTAAAAGGACATAGGTTGGTGGAATGAATGGACAAATAAGTTGTGAAATTTAATGCAAGAAGTGCGAAACGGTTCCCTTTTGTAGGAAGAGTGTGGAGTGACGGTATAAAACAAAAGGTAAAGAAAATACTAGAAAATAACCTAAAACAAAAGGTACAATTCTAAATGTGTGCAAGAGCAGAGGGATCAGGATGTAAATCACTGAAGTTAGCAGCACAGGTTGGGAGAGCAGTTAATGAAGCATTCAGGATCCCGAGCAATCTGAGTAGGTACCCAGATTACAAAAATGTGGATGTTATGCTTAAACTAATATAAAACTCTGGATCAGCCTCAACTCAAGTATTGCGCACAGTTCTAAGCACCATATATTAAGAAGGATATAAAAGCATTAGAGATGATATAGGAAAGGCACACAAGAATGGTTCCAGAGCTGAGGGCCCTCTGTCACGTAGAAAGATTGGGAAAGTTGGAATTGTTCTCCTTGGAGAAGACCAGTTTGGGAGGAGACTTGATAGTTGTATTCAAACTTATGAGGGGTCTGGACAGAATAGGTGGGGGATGTTATTCCTGTTGCTGGAAGAATTGAGACCAGCGAACACAGAGTAAACTGGCAAAAGAGTCAATGGCGACAAGAACAAAACAGTTTGATGTAGCAAGTGGTTTGGTCTGGAATGTATTGTCTGAGAGTTTGGTGGAGGCAGGATCATTTGAAGTTTTCAACAGGGAATTGGATCATTACCTGATCGGGAAACATTTACAAGTTTCTAAGAAAATGGCAAGGGAGTGACAAAGGGTGAATGACTTCTTCGGAGAACCATCACAGACGTGACTGGCCGAATATCCTCCTTGTGCGCTGTAATCTGTGATGCTACTGTGTGCTGCAGATCGAAGCAATAGTTAGGTATGATTTAACTCTGTTCTACATTGGTCATAGTCATACAATGTTTATGATATTGAATGAGTATAGTAGGGAGGTTCAGATCCTCCTATGACAATTCTTGAAATTCATTTTAATAAATCTGGTAATTGTGGACCATCAGCAGCAAATGTATCCATTTAACATTGCTGCTTTGTCAAAACAAAGCTAGATGTTCACAAATGTACTGAGAGTTGGGAAATGCTCACCGCTATGTATGATTCCAATCGTGTCTTACTCTGTTAACTTTTTGCCTTCTGTGGTGCCCTAATAATCGACTTGGTAATAAAACAATCAATACATTGGAAGCAACAATCATCTTTTCAACTAGAGTTGAGTAATAAATTCTGTGGTTGTGTATGACACCAATAGAGAGGGAAAATACTATGCCACAGCTCTATTCCAAATACATTTACCCTTGTGGTCCTCACTCTCACTCTGTAGTGCTCTATTGTATTCACTCATCTTGTCTGTGAAACATATTTTTGAAAGTAGTAGGATCTAGAATTCGCTCACTTGCAAGCAGAAGTTAAATGCAGAAGTTCATATAGTGATTTTACATACAAGATGTGTCCATTTATGATAGAGATCTGTTTTTGTGATGGCCCAGAACCTATGGTGTTGAAAGTGAATTTTTTAAGGTATGTATAGTGTGCATAGTATAAATTTTTGATAAATACAACTACAATATAATCACGGAGCAGGTTGTATTTAATCAAACTTCTGAGGTAATGCTTGCAATGCCCTTTTTCAGAGTGTTCATCCGGATTCTGTTCTTTTTGGGAAAGCTAGCTGCAACCAGCTTTCCCAATCTCTGGTTGTTGAGGTGTTCTTTTTAATGTCACTGGTCATTTTGCCATAGACTTTCGGCCACATACCCTTGGTAAAATTATGTCACTTTCATGTTGCCGGAATAATGGTTTCCCCTAATGGAACTAAATCTATAAATTAGCATTGCCATTAATTGTTTAATGCATTTATGGCATTTTTGTCTTTTTTCATTGTAAACTACAATTTTGCAGTTTTTGATAATGTGTCCCGATACCATAACCAGATTATTTACCCCTCTTATTAATTAAATCAACAGAAATAATGAAATTGCCATCTGTAGACCATTGTTATAAATTTAGATATGCAACAAGATTTTAACTGTGCCTAAAAAAAACTGATGTTTATTTTTGATCAGCTGTCAGAATAGAGAAACAAATTATAACTAGTTTCTTTTGTTAAACTTTTTAAGTTCAGGGGTACACAGCAAAAATAGATATGCTGTGACAAGTGTAGAATGTTACTATGGCAGGCATCCAGCTTAATTTTAATCCACGTCAGTCATGTTTATTGTATAATGACTGCAGTAGTGATTTGCTGCTGCTACACTTATAGGCCAATGATTTGCAACTGATTAAATTAAACCATGACTTAAATTTTGAAAAATTTCCTGTATTGTATGTTTGAAATTTTTTTTAATGGAAAGGAAACTGATTGCTTATAGCAGCATTCCAAATTTACTGTATGAGCAAAAACAGTTTGGTTTCAAGAAGAGAATTTACTTGTTAATGTGGACTTTACATATTTACTTTGCAATGTTGCAACCATGTTTGCATGCAAATATGGATTAGGTACAGTTTGGACTTTCCAAACCAAATTAGTTATGTCTGTGTGAGTGAATGTGAATTTATTGTAAAGGACTGTAGTTTTTGTTACTGCTTCTTGCGTTTCAGATGCAGCATGGTGGCTCAGCGGTTAGCATTGTTGCCTCACAGCACCAGGGACCTGGATTCAGATCTAGCCTTCGGTGACTATCAGTTTTGAGTTTGCACATTCTCCCATTTCTGTGTGGGTTTCTGCCAGGTACTCTGGTTTCCTCCCACAGTCCAAAGATTTGTACGTTGGGTAAATTGGCCATGCTAAATTGCCCCATAGTATCCAAGGTTGTGCAGACTAGTTGGGTTAGTTGTGGTAAATATGGGCTTTTGGGGATGGGTGGAGTATGGTTGGATGCTCTTCGGAGGGTCAGTGTGGACTTGATGGCCTCAATCTGTACTGTAGGGATTCTGTAGTGTTGAAAATTGCTGAAAATTTAAGGATGTAATTTAAGAAAATTTAATTTATTTAACAATTTAAGAAAAATCATGGAAGGTTGCTAAAGTATCCTCACACTAGCTGGACACTTAAAGATGTCTTCAAGAATAAGTGAGAATGCAAATTCGTCGTTGTTTTTTTCTCATGCAGCAATGTAAGGATTGAATAAAGATTTTTGTATTGTGTAATGCACCAGGGCAATGATATTAGCCATATTGGCCATAAAATAATAGTGTTTCATAACTTTTTTTTGTTCCCATTGCAAGATTATAAAGAGTAGAAATATATCCTTGCACAGT